ACCAGATTTCTAATTGCTGGATTTGCTACTTAAATATACCCCTGTTGTTTACTTAAGAATTTTCATACATAGGGCTTCAACAAACTCTAATCAGTTCTAACAGTACACTAACTTACTATTTTATATTACTAATTTGATTACTAGTATTTACTAATCAAAATTTTAGATTTTCTAATTTATTCTAATACACTTTTCTCACACCTTTATTAAATCAGTCTAGCTGACATTCTTTCAGCCTTCATGTTGATTAGTCTGTGGGTATAGTTCCCCCAGGTATATCACATGTATTGTCTGACCACTCACATCAGTGACTGCACACCAGTCTTAACCTCTTTTGGTCTGGGTGGTTAGATAAAAGCCCAGTAGATTGCTCGCACTCAGAAAAGGCAATGAACAGACTAAATCTATTCCAGACCCTAGATAGTACATACAGCCCAAAGAAAAAGCTTCTAAAAATAGTCTGGCATGTACAGATACTGTTAGCATTTAAAGAAGATTCCCTCTAAGATCGGTGTGAAAGTTCTCAGTCCCAAGTTACAGATGTGGTACCGTGGCCTGCTCTGCCTCAGCACACAAGATCTTGATTTTGCTATTTGCAAAGAAGGCAAATAAGATGAACGACTGAAAAGAGACCACAGAAAGAAATGAAGAACTCTTTGCTATTCCAACTCCATTTCTGTGCAGCAGGGTCGGGTGCCCGGGGTTCCCCAGGGGAGGCAGCTCCGGGTGTGCTCATGGTATTTTCCTGAACCCACTGCAGAGCTGCTACTTGATCTAAACATCCCCAGTTCCCTCGGGCATGTTCGTCACCAACGGTGCTGCAGAGAAAGGACACCTTTGTTTCAATGCTCAGTGCAAGAAAAAAGGCAGAGGAAAATACAGCGTGTGGTGTGAGAAATCATCTGCCATTCCCTGCACAGAACTTCTCCCCACAGCTGAAAATAAACAGCCTTGGGATGAGAGCAGCAGCCCAAGAAGAACGGATGTGAAAGCTGAGTTGGGACTGGTAAATTGTTCCCCGGGGTTGCAGACGCAATTCAGAAATGCAGAGTCCCTTCGCACAAGCGAGTCCCCGCACTCTCTTCCCCCAGCCCCTCTGGATTTACCTGTTGCCCCCAGCGCCGTCACCCCGAGGGTGACGATCCAGGCGAGCAGCGCCGCGTCCCTCCCCGCTGCCATGGTGCGGGCGGGCACAGCTCCCCGGAGCGCCTTTTATACCCCGAGCAGGACGAGTTGCGCAAGGCACAGCCCTGCTCGGCCGGGGCAGCGCTCGGGCCGGGAGCCAGCGGGGCTGGGGCTGCCGGGGCACAGCCCTGAGCCGCTCCCGGGCACCGCTCAGCGCCGGCGGCGCTGGGACAGGGAGCTCCTGCCCCACAAGGGTCCCACTGCTGCTCCTTTGGAATCTTAGTCACAAAATCTCTGCTTCAAAATGCTTTGGAAAGAGCCTTCCCTGCCCCAGGAGATGTGTCCTTCGCTGTGCCACCACTCTCTGTGACAGCCAAGGGAGGATTTCCTCACACTGCACAGCAGGGACCAGCAAGGGAACCTCACTTCTGCTTTATTACATGTTCACGTGATTTTCACAGAATATGCTGAGTTGGACAGGACCCACAAGGATCTTCAAGTCCAACTCTTCAGTGAATGGCCCACACAGGGATTGAATCCACAATGCTGGCATTCTTAGCTCCAGGCTCTGACCAACTGAGCTCATCTCATTCTGGTATTAAGGCCTCAGTGTAAGAAACACAACATAGCCAAATCCAAACCATTATCCCTGAACAGTGTGCTTTTCCTGAAGTTGAGGGATTTTTATTCTCACAAAAAGGGTATTTTTTGACAAAACCAATTCTAGAAAAACCCTAGCTTTTTCTGCAGGTGCAGGAGACACCTGTCATTCTGTCCTGTGTGTTCAGGCGTGTCTGGTATAGTGTTGCAATACAGTTGTAACAATCAAGAGGTGACTTACCAGCTTTTGTAGTGCTGGAACAATATTAAAGGGTGGTATTTGGGTGGTAACTATATATTTAATATTTTAATACTCCTAATAGGTCAGGAGGATTTATTTTCTGTGCCAGCTCCATAATCAAAGCATGATGTGCAAAGGAGGGACTAGAACAGTTGAATAGGAACAAAGGAAATTTTCTGCTCACATTAACTAAGAGGTTGTGTTAGTTTGATGAAAGCTTTAGGTTGTGCCCTTTTTTTTTTCAAGGCTCTGTAGCTCTTGCCCCAAAAAGCAGTTTTGCAATTTTAAATCATGAGAATTCTTAATTGTCAGAGACAGCATTTGATAGAATCATATCACACAGTCACAGAGTGCTCGGGGTTTGAAGAAACCTTAAAGATCATCTCATTTCACCCCCTGCCATGGGCAGGGACACCTTCCACTAGTCCAGGTTGCTCCAAGCCCCGTCCAACCTGGCCTTGGACACTTCCAGGGATGGGGCTTCTCTGGGCAACCTGTGCCAGGGCCTCCCCCCCTCACAGGGAAGGATTTGTTCTGTGTACCTAATCTAAACCTACCTTTCCTTGGCTTGAAGCCATTCTCCCTTGTCCTGTCACTACATGTCCTTGGCAAAGTCCCTCTCCATCTTTCTTGTAGGCTCCCTTCAGGCACTGGAAGGGGCTCTATGGTCTCCCCAGAGCCTTCTCTTCTCCAGGCTGAACAATCCTAACTCTCTGATTGTCTCCATAGGAGAGGTGCTCCATTTCTATAGATTAATTTACTGCTTGCACCTCTCTGGATGGGTTGCAAAGACCCACAGTCATTAAATTAGTTCAGCACATGTATTATGCACCTGCTAATCCTGTATACTGTGGCTGTGCTTGTGTACTTTACTCCAAATCTTCCTACATACGTATGCACAGGTGTGATTTACAGCCCTTGTAGGTAAATCCCAGTCAACTTTAACCTGGACTGCTCAGAGGGCAAACTGCTGGCAGCAGCTCCAGTGGACACACTCAGTGCATGCTGAGCCTCTCAAGGATGTGCTCTGAGTGTGGGGCAGCCCCTGCCCTCTGCCCCAGCTCTGAGTGCAGCAGTGCCCCAAACACTGCCTGCTGTGCTGGTGTGTGGCTCAGCTGTGCCTGAGGGCAAGGCCAGGGCTCACTGTACTCTGGCAACTGGGATAACATGGGAATCTGAGTGTCTGCAAAACAGTGTGGACAATCACTTCATGACAGAATTGCTGTGGCTGCAAAGGTGTTCCCTGGGAGACTTTTTTCCTTGTTCCTCAAAGCGAAGTTGTGACACTGAAGGGGTGGGATTGGTCTGCAGTGCTGGGAGTGTACAGTCCATACAGCAATAAATATGTATGCATTGTCTAATGCAACTCGTGGAAACAGGGGCCTGGGGGACAAGTGATGGAGCTTAACATGTTCTCTTTTACCTTTGTTTGTGTGATCAAGGTTCCTGAGATGCCAAAGGCAGCAGCACTGCAAAGTGGGAAACTCTGCACTCCTGTTTGCCTGCCCAGATGCTGTTGCAGATTCTCTATCTCCACTTATCCTGGACTGCTTTGGTTCCTGGCAAGGGAAAACTGTTTCCATGAGAGGTGGAACTAGAGGAATCCCTCCTTGTGACTCAGCTTTCATTCAGATGGACACGCACAGTCTCACCTCACTTGTGACCCACAAACCACAGGAGGAGTCCTTTGCTGCAAAGCCAAATACTGTTTACTCTGCTTGCTGCTTTCTCTTTTTGCTGTAACAAACTTTATTTATTTCCATAAACAATTTATTTTATGTCTCTTGATCTTTACTGATTTTACTAAACTCTGTATTTCCTATTTACTTTCCTTTTATTTTTCCCCTTCACTACTACTTCCTTCAATCTTTGTTCTACTCACTACTTCTCTCCCAAGTACCCATTCTGCAAAAATTCTCAGTCCATATCCCACCCACAGGCCTGTAGAAGCAGCCATTCTGAAAATATTATGTGTGCAAACCAGTTTCTGCAAACTGTGTCCATCTCACTTCTAATAAGATAATAAAAAATAGGATTTTAGGTCCTGACAGCCTTGTCTGTAGGTACTTTGATGGATTTGCAAGCATGACCTAATTGCTTTGCAAATGTAGAAACTCTTACTCTAGTGACACAGACTAGACTTGTAGAATCTGCAGCAGTGCTACCTACCTGGAGAGGGTAATTCTTGTCCTGCTTGGCATTTAAGAGAGAACATTTTGCAGCTTACCCTCAATCAGTGAATAATTCCTAAGTCAGGGATCAATTAAAAAAATCCTGCCACATGATGACCTTTGGCTCTTTGTAATTCAATGCACTGCTGCCTTTCTTGATTCCAATAGCTAAAAAAAAATAAATAGACAACTATCACAGCCCCTAGTAAGTATTCAATGAAGCTACAGAGTATAAGACAGAGTTGGAGTCTAAGAAGCTTGGACAGCTTTAACAGTCTCTCTTTAGCATGTGGTAAACTCACAGCAGGATGTCTCTGGGACGAGACAGAGCACTCATCTCTATGTAGATATCAGCAAAATCTGTTGACATTTCCCACTGTGATGTATTTTTAGCATGGGGCCTTGTGCTACAAAGTCAGTTCCACTGCACTTCTCTGCACACACTTACAAGATGAGCATGCACTCAATGCTGCCTGGTTTGTCTCCTTTCAGAGGGAGTGGTGCAGGACCTCAGGGCTTTGTGCAATGAAAATCTATCAACACTATTTTGAAATATATTCCCCTTGTCAGGCATGTTAGATAAAACAAAGGAGGAGGGGCAGATGCTTAGGAGGATTTTCTCTTTACTAAAACATTTCTCCCTTTTCTAACATTTGAGAGAAGTCTTAATCCCAGCACTACTATGACAGACACATACCACAACAGTCAGAACCATACTGTCCTGTTATAAAACCAACTTAAAAAGCAGAACATTCTGTAGTTTCATTTTCTTTCCACAGAGGACATTTCTGTATCTACAGCACACCAAAATTTCTGTACCACCACTGACACATTTAACATCAGAAGACAGTTTTACTGGCAAATTGGGTCGTCATTGATTTCATTTTATTAAAACAATGTTGCTGCTACATTCTGTCTTCAGTCATGAGGAAGTGACAGAAAAACCTGAGCACTGGGGAAATGTGGTAGTTGTATTTAACAAGTGAGGGATCAATTGGAGTTATTACAAGGAATAATTTCAAGTATGACAACTGTGAAGAAAAGACAAAAAGAAGGGAAACAGAATTTTATCCTCAAAATAACTTTAAGTAATTTCTTTTCCTATCCTAATAGCTTGCATATTGTGTGCATGTTTAGACTGTAAATTATAACTCTGAATTAACCTTCTTGTTTTCCATTCTTTGGTTATTTGCCTTTTCCAGCATCAGCTTTTTCCAGAAATTCACCTTCTCTTCTTTCAACTTCCTGGCTTTCTTTTGTTTTAGATTTATCTGCAAGTATTCTTCATTTAGGTTGTAAGATGGCCATTCAACCAAACCCTCTCCATTAGGATTTCTGTAAACAGCAAGAAAGAAAGAGTGAATGCCCTTTTCAGGCACAGGGAAGCTCAATCCCAGAAGTCAGCCCAGAGCACTAATGTCTCATGACTCTCATGATTCTTACCCATTTCGAGCAAAGTTAGCCCAGTACTTCATCAGAGTTCTACTGAGGTTCTTTTCTTCCTCTGTAACTTCACCTGAAAGGCAAAATACAAAGTTATTATGTGTGGCAAAATCAAGACATTACTACTACAGGAGCAGAATTTCTGTCTGTGAAAATGCTGCAACAACTTCTCAATTGCAACAGAGACACGACACCTGCAAAATGTTAGTAATGCAGCATCACGAGATTTCAGCACTTCCTGAGTGACATAATTATCCTTATTCTACAATCAGGGAATTTGGGAACAAGGAAACAAGGGGATGTGCCTGTAGCTTTCCCAGAAACCAGAAGCAGAACCAAAAACCCCCATGTGTTCTGCCAGGACAACTCAAGAAATGGGCCACATGGTTTAGCTTCCTGGATCTCATTCCAGCTTTGTGGGACTGAAATCCTCCCTATTATTCGGAGCATGATGAGGCAAAGATTTCTCCATTCTGATATGAAGTGATGTCATTTCTCAGCACTTCAAGAATATTCATTTATATCCAGTGACACACAAGCTCAATGTATCACCAGGGGAAAATAATTGCAGTGTGTTATTAATTATAAGTGCATCTCCACACATTAAGAAAAATATTTGTTATCTTATTGCCCTCGGTAAATTCAGGCAAATAGGAAATGAACTGTACAGTGTTTCCTAGTGTAGCAAGTATGTAGGTAAAAAAATAAATATAAAATATAAGCAAATCAAAAGGCTCTAGTAACAGATTAACAAAGGGTTTTACAACATAGCTGGATTGCTCCAAAGTTCAATGGAGTAAAAGGAAGCACTTTCAATTATGTAAGCTTTGAAACAGACTATGAACTACTGTTCAAATGGCAAAAATAACAGCAGAAAAAATTGTGAATTCACTTAAAATAAGTAGAATTTCTGTGTTTCTTTGTCAAAATAAGATCTGTCCTAATTGGTTTCATGGGAAAGAAAATACACCATCCTGAGTATTATTGTTTTAGGCATATATAATTAAAGCATATTGCTAGATTCACAATATTCCTTAGGATGTGGCATCGTGTATCTTAACTGTTCAGTGATTGGCAAATTCATTTGGAATGGATCAATGTGGGATTCTGCCTGAAGGAACTTCCCAAACCTCATGAGAATGTTAGGACTACACCCTTAATCCTCCTGCAATGGACTGGTTTCATTTTGAATAAAATGCTTATGTATTAATTGAGTCATGGGGCAAAATAGTCTTTAATCTAAGCATTAGATCCTCCTGCAGAAAATGAAACACTGCAGTCCCAAGCTTTGCTCTGAACACAACTGGAACAGTGTCTGCAAAAGAGACCAAGTCCCCCATTCCCTGGAGCCTGACAGCCCCTGGGATTTCCAGGGAAGGAGGAGACACTAGCTTGAACTCCTCAGGAAAAGAAGATATCTAGATTTCCTGCTGCCCAAGCACTCTGCCAATCCCCTTTCAAGCTTAATTGATCTTTCCTTCAGTTTATTTTTCAGCCAAAGCTATTTGGCAAATTCATGCACAATGCTGGTCTAATGGCATTGAGTTTTTTAGCAAATGTCCTATTGGCTAAATTGTTAACAATATGTACAACTTACTGTGCTTCAGAATGAGCAAACTGTACCTGACAGATTGGGGAAGACAAATAGTGTAAAACAAGTTCTGCAGGAGAAAGGGTCATGCTTTGGTCTCACTGTTAAGAGAGGCACTTTAGTCTGATTAAAATATGTAATAATGCCAGTTACAAGACTAATTTCCATGTGAACATTTATGACTATTTCTTACTGCACAGCTGAATTTCTCCTGCCAGAAAGGGTCCTCCAAAGACAAAGCCAACTTCATCCCCGTGGTCAGCCTTCACATACTCTGGTTTGCTGTCCCAGTGTGAACTGGGACGGTGCTGAAACTCAAAGAAGTAGGTAGGGGCTCCAGACTCTAGAAAATGTAACATTTAGAGAGTTAAAGAGATGCATAAAGTACAGTTGACATCAGCTGTTTAAAATACCACTTTAAACATGCCCAAAGCTTTATACTGGCCACATTTCTAATGTAATGTCACATTCAAATATGTACATTTTTAATTCAAAATTAAAAACTCACAAAAAAAAAAAAGAGTCGAGGCTCACCACAGGAAAACTTACAGAAACCACAATAACACCAAATTATTTCCAGTTCTGGGTATCTTGGCAGGGTTTGTCAAGATTTTTTGAAATCTCCAGACCACAGAGCTGCTGACTTCTGAAGTAGCTGTGGGCCAAAGGGCAAAGGTTGCTTTGATATATTTTAATTTTTAAGCCTGTAGTTCAGTTAGCAAACATTTATCTGTGTTATCACGCTCTGGTCTCAATATATTGTGATTATGAGCACAGTGGAAGACACTAGGACAAAGATGAAGGACCACACACAACCCTGCAGACCTATATCACTCTTCATCCTCAAGTTCTGTGCTGGTTTAAGAGTTAACCAGCAGGGGAAATGAACTCAACTCAAAGGAGAGATTATAAGTCAGAATAACAATTTATTACAATAATACAGTAAGTACAATCATACAAACAAACAATTGGTGTTAACCCACAAAACCCAAATGTATAACCCAGTACCCTGGGGCATGAACAGCGTGGTGTTCCTTGGGCCCCGCTTGAGTCCAAAGTAAAGGGAGAGGGGAAGAACCTGCTGGTGGGAGAGCTGTTGCAGTCTGGTCGAAAGTGGTGATTGCAGTGAGATGCTGGGGGGAGAGCTGTTGCAGTCTGGTCAAAAGTGGTGATTGCAGTCCAGTGATGGTCTAAGTCTGGTTGAGAGCGATGAGCTGCAGCCTTCCTCTGGATCCCACGAGGGGGTTCAAAATGTTCCAAGACTCCAAGATTATATATCCTGCAGTTCAGGCAGGAATGCTCAGCACTTCCCTCAGGGCGGGGAGTTCCACAAAGGGTGTGAGGACAGGAGCATCCTCCTATCTCACAGGCCTCTTAACACCTAGTTTATAGCCTGAGGAGTCAGGCTCTATGGGCAGATGGTGTAAATGGTTCATTGATAACAGTTTCTGGGAAATGGCATGGAAGGCTATAGAATACACAGTTTTGGGTTACACCCATACCCTGATGAACTGGTCTCAGTTGTCCTAACTAGGACATTATCCACCCCTTATTCTATGCCATCCATGTCATGCCCAAATTAACCCCCTTTAAAAAACTATATCCCTTTAAAACTATATACATATATATATATATATATATATATATACAATGAAACATTACAGACCATTCTCACTCAAAATTAGGTCCCCTTGTGGTACACAACGTGTCTCCCCATCTTTTTGCATTACCCACCAGGTGGAACCAGGTCCTTGAGCAAAAACAATCCCTCGGATGGGTTTGCCTTTGCTTGAGGTGGGACTAATCCAAACAGTCTTCCCTAACATTCCTCTCATATGTACCACGGGGACTTTATCTCCATCTACAGTATGCAAAAGTTCTGATTGGGCAGGGCCAGCTCGATTGATGGAGCCTCGGGTGTTGACCAACCAGGTGGCCTTTGCTAAATGCAGCTCCCAGTGTTTGAGAGTCTCCCCACACAGTGCCTTCAGGGTGGTTTTCAGCAGTCCGTTGCACCGCTCAACTTTTCCAGCAGCTGGTGCATGGTAGGGGATATGATACACCCACTCAATGCCGTGCTCTTTGGCCCAGGTGTCTACGAGGCCATTCTTGAAATGGGTCCCATTATCAGACTCAATTCTCTCCGGGGTGCCGTGTCGCCACAGGACTTGTTTTTCAAGGCCCAGGATGGTATTCCGGGCAGTGGCATGAGGCACGGGGTATGTCTCCAACCATCCAGTACTCCCTTCTACCATGGTCAGTACGTAGTGCTTGCCTTGGCGGGTTTTGGGGAGCGTGATGTAGTCAACTTGCCAGGCTTCCCCATACCTGTACTTTGACCACCGTCCACCATACCATAGAGGCTTCACCCGCTTGGCCTGCTTGATGGCAGCACACGTCTCGCAGTCATGGATGACCTGTGAGACAATGTCCTTGGTTAAGTCCACCCCTCGGTCACGAGCCCATCTGTATGTTGCATCTCTCCCCTGGTGACCAGAGGCGTCATGGGCCCATCGAGCCAGAAATAATTCTCCTTTGTGCTGCCAATCCAGATCTACCTGAGAGACTTTAATCCTGGCAGCTCGGTCCGCCTGCGCGTTGTTACGATGCTCCTCATTAGCCCGTTTCTTGCCTACATGAGCGTCTACGTGACGGACCTTCACACTCAGCTTCTCTACCCGGCCAGCGATGTCCTGCCACATCTCCGCCGCCCAGATGGGTTTCCCTTGGCGCTGCCAGTTGGCCTTTTTCCATCGCTCCAGCCATCCCCACAGAGCATTGGCCACCATCCATGAGTCGGTGTAGAGATAGAGTCTTGGCCACTTCTCTCGTTCAGCTATATCCAAAGCCAACTGAACGGCTTTAAGCTCTGCAAACTGACTTGACCCACCTTGTCCTTCGGTCGCTTCTGCAACTCGCCGTGTGGGACTCCATACAGCTGCCTTCCATTTTCGGTTTGTCCCTACAATGCGGCAGGAGCCATCCGTGAAGAGCACATATCACCTTTCATCTGCTGGTAGCTTGTCATATGGTGGGGCCTCCTCAGCCCGTGTCACCTTCTCCTCCTCTTCTTCAGAGGATAGTCCGAAACTCTCACCTTCAGGCCAATTGGTGATAATTTCCAGAATCCCAGGGCGATTAGGATTCCCTATCCGGGTTCGCTGCGTGATCAGAGCGATCCACTTACTCCACGTGGCATCGGTGGCGTGATGTGTGGAAGGAACTCTTCCCTTGAACATCCAGCCCAGCACTGGTAGTCGGGGTGCCAGGAGGAGCTGCGCTTCGGTGCCAATTACTTCTGAGGCAGCTCGAACTCCTTCATAGGCAGCCAGGATCTCTTTCTCAGTTGGTGTATAGCTGGCTTCAGATCCTTTGTATCCCCGACTCCAGAATCCCAGCGGTCGTCCTCGGGTCTCTCCAGGCACTTTCTGCCAGAGGCTCCAAGAAGGGCCATTCTCCCCGGCTGCGGTGTAGAGCACGTTCTTCACGTCCTGTCCTGTCCTTACTGGCCCAAGGGCTACCGCATGGGCAATCTCCTGTTTAATTTGTTCAAAGGCCTGTTGTTGTTCGGGGCCCCACTGGAAATCATTTTTCTTCCGTGTCACAAGGTAGAGAGGGCTTACAATCTGACTATACTCGGGGATATGCATCCTCCAAAAGCCCACAGCGCCTAAGAAAGCCTGTGTTTCCTTCTTGCTGGTTGGTGGGGACATGGCTGCTATTTTGTTAATCGCCTCCATGGGAATTAGGCGGCGTCCATCTTGCCACTTCACTCCTAGGAACTGAATTTCCTGAGCAGGTCCCTTGACCTTACTCCGTTTAATGGCAAAACTGGCTCTTAGGAGAATCTGGATTATCTTCTCTCCTTTCTCGAAGACTTCGCCCGCCGTGTTCCCCCATACAATGATGTCGTCAATGTACTGTAGGTGCTCTGGAGCCTCACCCTTTTCCAGTGCAGTCTGGATCAGTCCATGGCAAATGCTGGGACTGCGTTTCCACCCCTGAGGCAGTCGATTCCAGGTGTACTGCACACCTCTCCAAGTGAAAGCAAATTGTGGCCTGCACTCAGCTGCCAAAGGAATGGAGAAAAAGGCATTGGCAATGTCAATGGTGGCATACCACTTGGCTTCCTTGGCCTCCAGCTCGTACTGGAGCTCCAGCATGTCCGGCACAGCAGCACTCAGGGGTGGTGTGACTTCATTGAGTCCACGGTAATCCACCGTCAGCCTCCACTCCCCACTGGACTTACGCACTGGCCATATAGGGCTATTAAAGGGTGAGCGAGTCTTGCTGACCACCCCCTGGGTCTCCAGTTCACGGATCATCTTATGTATAGGGGTCACAGAGTCTCGGTCGGTGCGGTATTGCCGACGGTGCACTGTTGCTGTGGCTATCGGTACCAATTGTTCTTCAACCTTCAGCAGTCCCACAGCAGAGGGGTCCTCTGAGAGACCAGGCAAGGTATTCAACTGTCTAATTTCCTCCGTCTCCACAGCAGCTATGCCAAAAGCCCAACGAAGTCCTTTTGGGTCTTTGAAATACCCACTCCTCAGGTAATCTATGCCAAGGATGCACGGGGCCTCTGGGCCAGTCACGATGGGGTGTCTGTGCCATTCCTTCCCAGTCAGGCTCACTTCAGCTTCCAGTACAGTCAGCTGTTGGGATCCCCCTGTCACCCCAGAAATGGAGATGGATTCTGCCCCTACGTATCTTGATGGCATTAAAGTACATTGTGCGCCGGTGTCCACTAAGGCCTTATACCTTTGTGGCTCTGATGTGCCAGCCCCCCGAATCCACACTGTCCAATAGACTCGATTGTCCCTCTCCTCTACCTGGCTAGAGGCAGGGCACCCCTAGTCCTGGTCATGGTACTCATTGTGCTCTTCTTGTGGGTATGACCTGGAGGTCCCTTCAAGAGGATCAGACGTATCATCATTCCTGTACCGTCTGGAGTCTTGCCCACGAGAGACTGGAGCAGCGTTTACCCTTGAAGAGTTCCTTGTGGTACTTGTTCCTCTTTTCAGTTCACGTACCCGGGCTGCTAAGGAAGGGGTGGGTTTCCCATCCCACTTCCTCATATCTTCTCCGTGCTCACGGAGGTAAAACCATAGATCGCCACGTGGAGTGTACCTTCTCTCCTTAGCTGGGGGACGCTGGCTCCTAATAGCAGAGACTCTTGTCTGTCCTGGTGAGATATGGAAGATCCCTTCCTTAATTTCCTCTCTTAGCTTCTGGTGTCCCTCTTCAATTTTCTCTTCCAGGCTTCTGACGTGTTCAGCCAGTTTGGTTTCCACAGATGAGACGTGGGCTCATAATGGGGCGGTGACAGTGTCTTCATACATCCTTAGTTTACTAACCAATGCTCCCACCTTGTCCTCTCCCTCCCTCCATTGCAGCGTTGCTAAGTAGCGGGAATACATTTCTGGCCCGAGTCGTGCAAACTTTAGCCACATCTGGGAGGTGCACTGTACGCCATCTGGACTTTTAGGGAATCTTTCATCGTCTGAAAAGATTATCTCCAGTACAGCTAACTCCCTTAAGCACCGGATACCTTGTTCCATCGTGTTCCACTGTCCTTGCTGTACGTGGAGGTCCTCCTTGCAAAGGTATCTCTCCCTCACACTGCACAACAGTCGCCGCCAGAGGCTGAGAGTTTCCTGCCTCCTTCCAATCCCCTGATCAATGACTACATCTCGAGACAGGGATCCCAGCTGTCTGGCTTCACTCCCATCTAGGATTGTGTCGTTAGCTGCGGCATCCCAGATTCGGAGCAGCCAGGTCAGAATGGACTCATTCGCCTGTCGTGTGAACTCTCTCCGGAGC